CCCGTCCGCCCACCCACCCATTTAGACAATGGTTAACAGAGGCGGGGTGCATGCGGATAGGAGGAATAGCTCCTAAGTCTGTGACAGTAGGAGAGCCACGAATGCCAGTAAGTGAATATTTTGAAGAGCTAATAGGATTTAGGATGCTCCCCAACCAAATGATAGCATCTGAGGAAGGAAGGAGCTCCTTGACCTGACCTGACCATCGCACAGGAACACACACATTCAAATGCCACTGTACTCATAAACACAATCAGCAAGTGTTAATTAAAAACAAAAGCTACTAGAGAAGAAAACATCACGTGGGGTGATGGACAGCTTCCATGGATTCTGGAGAAGCCAGCTGGTGTGGGCTGAGGGAGGAGGTGGGAACCTCGGTGCAGCCAGTCAGGTGGGTGGACCTGGTCAACAGTGGTGGGTGGACATCAGCACATCTGCATTTTTTGGACTCTAGTTAAATGTTAAGTCACTTCAGATTTTTTCCCCCCAGAAGCAGTTGTGGTATCAATGTTAAATAGATCTGGAGATAGCCACTCTCTGAGAAAGTCATGTTTAAAAGGAGTTCATTTTAGAATTGCCCCATTTAGAAGTGGTTCATTCACGTAAAAAGCTCTTCCTACTCTGGTGAAGGTAAGTAGTCAATGATGAAGAAATGTCTTTAGAAATCAAGTCAAGTGATGGGGTCTTCAGTAGTGTTAAGCACTGAGGTGGAAAAAAAATGTATTTTTTATCATATTTTATTTAAAAGACAAAATTCTCCCACTTTCACAGTTTAACTTAAAGTTTTCCACTTGGGTGCCTAATTTGAACACTAATATATCTTGATCTTATAGAAACCATTTTGCTGTTAATTCTTACTGTTCCCAACTACTGGTAATTATTTGAATTACATAACATAATTAATCTCAGTTATTCTAACTTTATTTGCCAATGGAAAGCTATTTTTTTCTGAAATTTTCTTCTATGAATCCTTCTGAGAAAACCAAATTGAATAATATAAATGTTATATTTAACACATTTTATTTCAAATATAGTAATCACAGATCAATGGAACCTTAGTACACTATACATTTGAAGTAGAGTGCACTGTGGCTTTTATATTGAAGAGCTTCCTGAGCTAGATGAAGCTAAAGCAAAAGCTGGAGTTAATAAAGTAGAAGTTGAGTCATTTTCCATTCCAATGGTGACTTGACCCTTTGCAGTGAGTGGCCCCCTCCTGGGCTTGGCTGCTGGGAATGAGCTCACCTCTAGGCGCATTTCCTAAGTTGCTATTGTCATCTAAAGAAGCTCGATTCATAGTGGTGGCTGTTTGCAGTCATCTGCAAAAAGAATGCCTGGCAGTAGTTAGGAGAGCGCTGTGTTCCGCAGCCTGAAGGTGCCTGAGAGGACCCTCCAGAGCACCCAGGATGCTGGGGACTGCGGGGTCCTGGAGACTCTCTGTGGGCCAGGCTCCTGGGCTCACTTCTGTCTGATGGAAGTCCCTGAAAAGCAGGAGCTGTGTTAAGTGTCACAGAGGACATGCACAGTGCCTTAGCCAGTGAAGAGAGGCTGACCCTAGCTTTTCAAAGTTAATCTTTATAATTTAAATTACAAAGTAGTGAAATCAGGAGAAGCACAATTACTAGCACAGTGGGAAAATACTTATGATGGCGTCACCACTCCAGAACAGTTTTGTGCCTGTCCTTCCTGACAGAGTGGAGTTAGCTGTGCAGTTCCTTGGACCTGGGGTGCATGCGATTTTCTGTCATGCTTCTTTTTTTCCTATGTTGTCACATATTCTCATTTTTGTCTTTTTTTTTTTTTTGGTACCAGGGTTTGAACCCAGGGGCACTTAACCACTGAGCCATATCCCCAGTCCCTTTTTTATTTTTTGTTTTAAAACAGGTTCTTGCTAAATTGCCTAGGGCCTCACTAAGTTGCTGAGGCTAATCTCGAGAACCTGCAATCCTCCTGCCTCAGCCTCCAGATCCACTGGGAAGATAGGCAGGCACCACCACTTCATCTTTTACATAGCAGCATTGTATTCTCTCACGTGTATCTAAAAATCATTGAGTCACACACAGCCTGTCCTTGGGCAGGTCCATGACTTCTGAAGCCATGGTTGGCAGTAGCTTTTCCATATTTTTGAAGACAGACATACCATCCAGACTTGTTTAAAGACTCTAACATATTGCCAAAAATGAAACCAGTTATCACAATGGTGATATTATTGTTTCATTATTAAAATCACATAAAATTTGTTAATATTTATGATCTACAACATGGTATTTTGAAATGTGTACACCTTGTAGATGGCTAGTCAAGCATTTAACATACCCTTTGTCTCACATACTTAAGATTTGTGTGTGTGTGTGTGTGTGTGTGTGTGTGACAAGAGAGCATTTAAAATCTGTACCAGTAGTTTCCAAGTAAACAATCAGTAGCCCTGTGTGCGCTGTAGGGCTTCTGAACTTAGGCCTCCTGCTCCTCCTGTCTCAAGTGTCCTGTCCTTTGGCCGGTGTCACCTTGTCCCTCCCCAGCCCCTGGTAGCCACTGCTCCGCTCCGTGCTCTGCGTGTGTGGATTCTGTTGTCAGAGTCCTCGTGTGAGTCACGCAGTGCTGGAGGTCATGCAGTGCTCGTCTTTCTGTGCCTTAGGGGAGGTCCTCCAGGTCTCCCCACGTTGTTGCAGAGGACAGGAGGCCCTCTGGCTTGGCACTGAGCTGTGTCCCATGGGAATGCGCAGGGCACTTTCCTCTTCTGTGGGTCTTGGGTGCACACTGAGGTTAACCCTGCACCTGGCTGTGATCTGCAGTGAACCCAGGAAAGCCCCGTCTTCACACACGGGGTTCTCCTCTGTGGCACATGAGCCCTGCAGGGGCAGTGGACCCAGTGCAGCGCTGTCCTTCGTCCTCCGAGAGGCTCCAGGCTTTCCCCCCATGCTGCACTGGCCGCCTCCTGCCACAGCGCACAGGGGCTCCCCACGGCCACCTCTCGATGACACTTGACACCTGCCTCCTGTCTCTTTGACGATGACCATTCTGCGAGGTGAGGGGACATCTCCTGCACTTTTGATCTGCATTTTCTGATGTCCAGATGCAGCTCAGTGACACGATCTGGAGAGACCATGGACGCCCACCGCGGGCATGAGGAAGGTAGTGGCGCTGCTGGAGCAGGTGCTGCCCACTGCTAGTGGCGGGTGGACAGCTTGCTGGACCTGCAGCAGCTGCCCAGTCGAGCCATAACCGCCCCTCACCCCGCACTTAACCACCCTTGACCAAGAGCATCAGAGGCCAGCAGCTCCGTCTAGGAGGCTCATCAGAGCTGACCGCCCACCCTTCAGGCCCAGCTCCCCGCCCTCGATGTTGACCCCTCTGGTCCCCGTCCTTCGCAGCCCCACGACACCTCCATTTCTTAATGCTTATTCATCGTTATCGTTCCCTCCTCCCTGGACAGGTCTCTGTCTCCAGGAGATCGGGCTTGGCGGTCTTACTCATTTCTGCATATACGGGGCCTAGGACAGGCTGAGGCATAGTAGATATTCAATAACATTGTACTGAAAAGATGACGAAAATACGGAAACTAATATTTAAGTAAATAGAAAGAAATAGAGATTGGAGCCCGAAGAAGGAAACTTGTTTTTAAAACAAAATTCTTAGATTTATTTTATTTACTCCATGTGGTTCAGAGGTTCAAACGAAGGTCAGTGGGGGGAATTATGGAGAACAAAGTCTCCAGATAACTGTCTTAAATACCTCTTGTGACTGGCAATGAAACTAAGCATTGTTTGTGTTTTATACTTTTTACCTTCAAAATAATACCAATTCGTACCTATTACGTGTTTCTTATGAAAGTTGCTTCCACGGAACTTCAGTGGCTCTTGACTTTGGTGAATAGTAGGCTTCCTGGAAAGAAGGAAGTCTGAAAAGCCCTGTGTGCTGTGAACCTCCCCATTTTTGCATAATAAATTTTATTAAGCTGAGAAGTTCTTCTGGAAAAGGAAGATGCTCAATTTTGTTTAACCCAGAATGTTCCAAACTGGTTTGACCTGGCTTGGTGATGTGCATGTACACCTGTGTCTACCCCAGGAAGAGGGTTGCCTGGATGCAAGAGTCTCCACCACCTTGCTCAGTTGACACCCAGTGTGATGTGGTGCATGAGGATTTCCCGTCTGATTCTTTCCCCCTTGTCTTTTATTACTGATTTCATTCACCTACAGGGAGGGCAAAGCAGCTCCAACCCCACAGCCTCCCTCGTTCTTCCCGACCTCCACCCCACAGTTTCCCAGTCAGAAGACACAGCAGAGCTCCTGCCTGTAACAACAGGCTTGTCAGATAGTGAAACAAGACCCCTCCCCACTCAGTGCCCGACGGCGGCTGAGAAGTCGTGTCACGCGCGTGTTCAGATCCGGCCTGGGTCTCTCTTGTTACTCTGCAAGGATGCTTTGCTAATGCTCCAGCCCTCAGGCTTCATGTTTGCAGAGTCTTCTCTGGAGCCAAAGCCATTTTCCATCCAACTCTAGGCTGGGTGGATTGCTGTCTTCTAAATAAACGGCTCTTTTCCTGTAAGATATATTTTTGAAGCACACTGACACTGGCCTCCTTTTGAACGTGTTTTACATGTGCGATGGGAGTCTAGATCCTTGGCTGAGGCGGTTCCTTCATTGGGACCGCCTGAGACTTGCTCTTGAAGGGACCTCTGGAGGGGTGGCAGGCTTTGTTTTGTTTCTGGGAAACAGCGTTCCTTCACACACGCTCCCTTGTGTAAACGGCAGGACCCTGAGGTCGCCTGGGCTCTTTTCTGTACTTACAGGTGACAGGTTGAGGCCCTTGGGTTTGTTAGCGCCTGACCTGTGGTTCTGTAAGGTATCTGAGTCTCAGGGCGGCCACTGCGTGCGTGGCCTGCAGACCATATGGCTCCGTCTCTTCTAGCCGAGTCACAGTGCCGCAGCCACCTGGTGATTGTTTTCAGAGGAGTTTTCTGTGAATAATTTTGATTGTTTTTTTGTTTTGTAACTGTCCAGGGTTGGTGCAAACGTGCAGTTCTCCTGTGAGGACAATTATGTGCTCCAGGGATCCAAAGGCATCACCTGCCAGAGGGTCACAGAGACATTGGCGGCGTGGAGCGACCACCGGCCCATCTGCAGAGGTAAGGCACGTGCGGGCATGGCCGGAAGCACGCCTTCCTTGGGGGCACATTTTTCTGAACACATGTTGCACTTACAATGAGATGTAAGTGCAAAGCACTGTCTGTAGATGGAGAGAACGTGATCAGGATGCGCGTTTTCTTCACCCTGGGCCAAAGCGTGTATTCTCTGGGTGCTTGTTAGGAGGCGAGCACCTGGGCTGCAGCGTCTCTGCGCCCCAGGAGGGTCGGTGGCAGATCGGAGCACTCACGTCTCACACTCACCTTGCCACCCACCTGTATGTGCGCGGAGTGGGCTTCTGGGCGACTCTGTGTCACAAACCAGGTCCTTTAGAGAGCTTCTTGCACAACCTGCAAAGAAACATAGACTCTTCAGCTTTCTGTTGCTGTGAGACTGAATTCCTGGGTTTAGTGATGTGAGAAAGGGTGTGGTTACCATGATCTCAATTCATCGCTCTGTTAAAACCTGTCTTAAGCTAATCTCTCACCTAGTTGACAGGGCAAGGTAGGCATCAGCAACACCATCTTGAAAGAGAACACAGGAAATCAGGAGAAACCAAGGTGTTAATCTCACTTCTTGGAAATATTTATTTGAATACTACTGGGATTCTAGAGAGCATACCAAAACCAGAGGGCAGAACATTGCTTTGGAAAATATTAGTAAAATTAAAAGAAAACTGGGTTTGGGGGCTTTCTTTTCGAATGTTGTTCATAAGACAATTTGTGCAAACAATGGTTCTTATTTTGTACAAGTACTATGTAGACCACGGAATAAGGAGGAAAGTTTCATGTGTAGGAATATATCATCCCTCCTGGTAGCTGTTTAAGAGGAATGGTAGAAAGGTGTCCTGAACAGTGCACAGCTCTGGCTTCCTCCTTGAAGTGAAATGGCTGCAGACACATCTCCACCCTCCTGTGGGCTCCACCTTCCATACAGTGCTCCCTGCATGCTCACCCCTCCTAGACCACATACTGCTGTGCCTGGGAGAGGGTTAGCACTGGCCATGACGCTCCCGTGGTAGGTGGGCCAGGGCTCGCGGGCTGCTTCACAGAGAAGCTCCTGTCTCTGAGCAAGAAAACATGCAAGCCTGTGCCTTTAGGATTTTGTCATTAGACTACTTTGTGTACCTCCCACTATTAAAGCAAGATTGCTAAGCTTTCAAAGACACCCTACCAAATTCATGTTCCCCTGAGTGGTGGCCATGCACGAGGTCATCAGGTATGAATAAGTGGTAGGTCCCAGGAGTCGGACTTACCCATGAGAAAACGGCCCTTCTCTCTTAATAGTGTCTTGCCCTTGTTTAATGGAAATGTTCCTCTTTATTTTAAAATTCCAGATTACACAAATAGTAAATGTGTGTTTTTAAATATTTGTTACTTTTAAATTGGTAGGAAGGAGTAATGCAAAGAAGATTCTTGTCCATATTGTATTTTTGTTTTTATTTGCTGATCCATGCCATCTCCTTTCTTTGTGCTGAAGTCCAACGTGACTCGGCCATTTCCTAATACCCTCCCTAAGCTCCTGGCTGCCCTGGCCTCAGGTGCTCCTGGCCTGTTCCTCTGTGGGAGGACCTGTTCCACCCCGCTCAAGCTGGAGTCCTGCCAGCCTCCAGCCCCAAGGCTTACTCTTACAGACAGACTGAGGAGGAGTCTTTTTCAAATTTAAATGTATTTTTAACTGATACATGAAAACATATAAACTGCATGTATTTATGGGATATAATGTAGCATTTTAGTACATGGATACATTGTTTAAGTTTTAAATCAGGCATATACTTGTCTGTCTCCTTAAACCTTTATCATTTCTTTATGAGGTGAACATTCAAACCCCTTTTTTCCAGCTCTTAGGAATGCATGGTAAATTATCATTCCCTGCAGTTGACCCTTGGCCCCTGGCCTGCAGAACTTCCCCTGTCTGACACCAACGCCGTGCCCATTGGCAGACCCTCCTGGCCTCTCCTCCCCACTGTTCTACCACCTCCCTGAGACCTGCTGTTTCACCACCTATTACAAGTGAGACCTGCAGTCCCTCCTTCTGGGCCTGCCTGGCTTCACTTGACCTCAGGACGTCCAGTTTCACCTGGGTTGTAGCACATACGGCACTGCATTATTTCTGTGGCTGAATAGTGCTCTGTGGTGTATGTGGACCCCGTTTTCTCTGCCTCTTCCTCCACTGATGGTCCTTTAGGCTGCTTCCACTTCTAGGCTGTTGTGAATAGTGTGCAATGAACTCAGAAGTGTCCCTTTCACGCCCTGGTTTCATCCCTTTGGGTGTACGTCCATCCCTGGGGTCCTGGACCATAGCGGGATCTACTGATTTCCTGTCCTGAGGAGCTCCACATTTTCCCTAGTGGTGGTGTGAGGGGGAGCAAGGGCTCTTTTCTCCACACCCAGGGAGTGTTTTGACTTTGTTCTTATCACTGTCCCTGTCCTAGTTAATCACGTGACAGGAGGGAAGCCCCTTCTTTGGGCTGGTTGTCCTGTGGTGTGCTGGGCTTGCTTTTCTGCTCGGGGGTCCTTGGCTGCATCCCTCCTGCCCTCCCCTCCCAGCGAATGGCCCCTCCTGCGGCTCCGACCGGATGCTGGCTGATCACCACCCGGCAGTCTTCAGCTGCTGCGGAGTTACCACTCTAAGGTTCTGGAATAGTGACCTGCTGTGTGGGAACAGTTCCACGAGGGTGTTCTCAGACAGGATGTGTTTTCCTGGCCTCAAGTAGATGAAAGACACAGCAATACTTTTGAGATGCCTTTTTTTAAATAAGACAAAGCCACATTGTTCTTGGCCTACTTTAATTTCTGACTTTTTAATACAATGTCTATGTCAAACACAATTAAAACACATTTCTTATCACAACTAAATTAAAAAGTGTAGGCATAGTGCCTTTTTGAATTCAAATATAAAATCTCCTTTTAAATCAGTTCATATTCTGGAAAACATTGTCATTCATCAGTATGTATTTTTGCATTCAATTTATTTACTCAATTGGCACAAAATTTGTATGATTTTATAGGGCATTATATAATATTCTGATGCATGTGAAGGCCCCCTTTCCCTCCTACCGTGAGAACAGCTGGTTTTAGATTCTGTGTATGGGCAACAGCGTGCAGTCCGTGGCTTTCTGGGCCTGGCCTGTTGGCCATCATGGCCGCCTGCTCCGTTTGTGTTGTTGTGAAGGCCTGGAGTCCAGAGGGTTCTGAGATTCCAGAGGGAAGTGTTCCTCAACTTCTTGGGCACCTCAGTCCCTAGTCTCAGGAGAGAACAGCGTCAGCGGCCCACTTGATCGAGGACCATGACAAGACAACTGGGGATGTGGTTAGCCCTGGCCAGCTGGCCCCACACTAGAGCTGTCACACCGCTGGGGTAAACGTCCTCTCCTTGGCCACTCTGCACTCCAGAACTCTGGGAGCTCCAACCAGCTTTCAGGCCTCTGCCTGGAGTCTCAGCCCACCCACTAGGACATCCACCCGCCACCGGCTGGTCCTACCTGAGGCTGAAGGCCCCGTGGTGGGGCTGCCAGCTGTCCGACCTGGAGAAGGCCACTGAAGAAACACCATGCCCGCTTCCCTCCACGTGCCCAGCTCAAGTCACATGCGTAATTTCAAGACATTTCATAGCCAGATTTAAAGAGCAAAAAGAAACAGGCAAATTTGATTTTAAAAACGTTGTATTTGACTCCAACATGCACAGTATTCTCCTTTTGACCTGCCAATACAAGATCATAATGAGATGTCTCATGGGTTTTTTTGTCATCTAAAGCTGTGGAGATCCAGGTGCCTTTCATACTCACAGCAGGCTCCCCTCGGGCCGGCCAATCCCCAATGCTCCGTAGCCACACGCGGCCACCATGACCACACAGCACACATGCCTCTGGAAATCTGGCTGAGCCTGCTGAGGAGAGGTGCCAGCATCTGCAGCTGCAGGGGTACGTGCTCGGTGATCCTCGCTGTGGCCTGGTGGCTCCCCGCAGCACAGCACTTTCCTCAGTCAAATCTCAGAATGTTTCAGTTTGGCAACTTTAGGAACCTTGAGGATGTCTCAGTGCCTCCTTTGTCCAGCATCTCACTGGCTCCTGTGCCGGACTCCTCCGTCAGAAGGAGCTGAAGACAGTGTTTGGGAGTGGACCTGTGGGACCAATTCTGAAGAAGCCGCAGCCCTGTGAACTGTGGGAAAGAGGAGATGGTGAAACTTCGTTCTCAATCACTACTCAAACCAGACTGTGGGGACATTTCCTTAGCTCCTGGTAGTTTCCAGATTTTCCAGGACATTTCCCACTCTGTGCTGCTGCCATGATAAATGGAATGTAAAAATGACCATCGGGGTAAATGGACCATCATGGTTTGGATTTGCCTGACTCATTCTGAGCCATCAAAGGGGACCTCATGTCCCCCCTTGTAGTCCACAGTCAGCTGTCCACCAGGTGGCAAGCCCTCTGCTCTGCATGTTGAGGACACTGCACTGAGTCCAAGAGGACCTTGCAGGTCCATGCCTCAGTGCCCTGTTCTGCAGCCTCCCCTGTTCCTGAAGGGCCCCCAACTCCTAAGTGATTGTCGGGCCTTCTCCCCAGAGGGAACACCAGTGGGAGCGTTGGACAAACTGCAGTGAGTCGGAAGCGCTCCCCGCATCTGGAAACCAGTGTGGTCAGCCAGTGCCCACATTAGCTAACTAGCTTCCAGGGTGGGAGGGTGTTATCTTTCTTCCTGTTACCAAACAGAGAAATATTGACATGGCTTAGTAATTATGCAAGTGATTCCACCTGAAATGATGCTCACTACTATGATTATTACAGGGTAAAACATTATGAGTTGCTTAAAACTACATAAGTATCTTTAACTGGTAGATTTTTAAAATAAGCAAACAAATAGAAACAAAGAGGGATGTTCTCCTGTTGCCTGATAGAACGTTCGGGTGGTGGTTCACTTATTGGTGTGTGGGGAGATTTATGTCAAGGACTTTCTTTTGGGCTAAGGCACCTTCGTCTGAGAAGCTAATATTTTGAGCTGCT